TTTTCAATGGTACGAATTTGTTCTTGCTGACAGATAAATTGATAAACGATTAATAAATATTTTAAAAAGTATACAAATGCAATAAAGTTTCGTCATATTTCTCGAAATATGATTTAATATAGGACATAATTGTGAATTTTTGTCAATGACAATAAGCATTTCTTTCGGTCTGTTCTGCTCTTTCGTGACATTTGATAAAAATTGTAAAGGATTGCGTACGTGTCCGCAATAATAATTCGTTAATGTTTCACAAGACATAAAGATAACGCGCTATGATACTTTGAAAATAATTGTTTTTTTTTTCCCATTTGAATTCAATACTAGAAACACGAGATTTTTTTGCGTCAAAACGAAGACACTTATATGTTCTATGATATTTCCTAATTGTAATTTAAATCAAAATTATTTATAACAATAGCACATCTTAAATATTAATATATATTTTATCGGAAAAAAATTTATCGAAAAATATCAGACTGAAAATAATTTCAATAATGAAGGAATGGATCTATTTAAAATAATAATAAAAAAACTTGTAAAGTGTTGAACGCAATGCAAAATCACTGCATTCCATTAATAATTTTCTCATCGATAACAAATTACAAGCTTAATCATTGACATTTTATTAATCATGAAGATAATAAAAAAGTTGAAATAAACACATACGGATGATTAATATCAATATTTCACATGTGTCACAATTGATTCATTTTATTTTATAATATTATATGTATATATAAGTATGTATATATACAGGGTAAGGCACCTAACTTGCATACCTCGAAAAAAACTTGTAAATTATAAGATATACGAAAAATTGTTATATACAAAAGTTGTATGATTTCGAAGTCATTATTTACACGGTATATAAATTATTTAAAAGTGGAGGGGTTTAAAAAATTTCAAGGTCAACTTCGTTTTTTTAAATGAAATTATATTATTTTTTATTTATTTATTTGATTTTACATAATATGATTCCTCTAATTATTCTGTGCGCATATAAAAGAATAACATATTTTAACATAAACTGTAAAATCTCACAAACTACTAATTTTTTGATAAATATACCTTAATATTTTTATGCACAGACTAATGAGACAAATCAATTGTTGTAAAGAAAACACATAATTGTTCTTCAAAAATAATATGTAGTTGCATATTGCAAATTACATAATTTTTTTTTAAATAACTAAACAAAACTTGTTAAACTCATTGTTCTGTGTGACAAAAGTATTAAGATATTTTTATTAAAACATTAGTAGTTTGCGCGCGAGATGTTTTACATTTTATGTCAAAATATATCAAAATATATCAAAAAGTATAAAATATCTCGTAAACTATTGATTTTTCGGTGACCTTCGTCATAGTATTTTTACATGCAAAATAATTAGAGAAATTATATTACGTACAAAAATCATATAATTCCATAAAAAAAAAAAACACGAAATTGACCTCGAAATTTTTTTAATGCCTTCACTTATAAAAAAAATTTATATACTATGTAATGATCCCTTCGAAGTCATGCAACTTTTGCATATAACAATTTTTCGTATAACTTATAATTTACAAGTTTTCTCGAGGTGTGCAAGTTAGGTGCCTCACTCTATATATATACATATTTATATGTATATACATAAATAGTTATTTTTGCGACACACTCCATCACGATTATTTGCGATTTCGAAGATGTCCCTGCACGACGATATAACAATACTTATATTCATCATCACTATTGCCAGTGATTTGCCTTTTTTTCTTTAGTCGATATACATATATAAATATATGTATATATAGGTATATCAAAAATATCCTTATGTGTATTATGTTTGCTACACACACATATATATATATATATATATATATATATATATATATATATATTTATATAGAATTATTTTTATAACGCAGTGTCATATACAATGTATATATATAATTAATTATATACATATGGTATATCTATATTTTTATTAGTACATTCGTACGCGTTTATTACGCGTACATTTATTAAATGTGTTTGTGTTTTTTTTTAATATGTAAGTGTGAATACACGAGTGTACGCGAAGTATATGTGTATCATGTTAATTACGCATATTGAATATTTTTGCGATAAATGGATACTTTATTTCGCGTATTTATATTCGTGTAAGGTATATCTACAGTTCCTCAATTTTTAAAAGATTATCTATATACATTGGAGGAATTATTTTCTCCACAGATGCAAGATTCTCTCGCACAGAATTGTTTTCACAAGAAACTTAACGATTTTATGAAAATGTAACAATTAGATGCTTTGTTACAGGTTCAATTAACAAGTGATATTATAGAAGAGCAGTAAAATGGTACAAATATATTCAAAAACAACATATCAGAGACATTTGTCTACAAGTATTGTATAAAATAATATATCGTGATTGTAAATAATTAGAATGGTACAATATGTATTTTCTATTTACTAAACTTCAAAGCAGTTGGACACTAAGATAATCTATAATGGTAATGATTATAATTATTGTATATATGAATGTTTGATTGAACAATTCATGCATGATAAAAATTTCTTAAGACAAACATGTACATGTGAACAAACTCTCTTCTGTGATCCAAGCGCAAGTAGAAACGCGTCAAATTTAGCAAGCGCGTTTTGGATTTTTTGATACTTGTATTTAGATAAATAAGTATACGAATGAAACGTAAAGCAACAGAACAATCGGGACAATAATGACAGACAATCATGATTGAAATAATCCGCACCAATAATAATAATAATAATAATAATAATAATAATAATAATAAATATTTCTTATAATACAAAAGATATAATAACTATTTGACACACGTCATTACTGATAATTTAAACGCATTATTTCTGTTGTTTTTTTTGTAATGTGAATGAAAAGATTTTTTGTTTGATATCGACAGTGCAAAGAGAATCTCGCATGTGTGTATTAGGAATGCGGATTGGAGTGGATTGGATTGGAGTAGAGTGGAGTGAAGTGGAGTGGAGCGGAGCGGAGCGGAGTCGAATTTAGTAGAATGGAGAGGAGTGGAGTGGTGTGACGATGATGCGCGTTAAATGTCAAATGATGTACGCAAAAAAAAAAAACGCAAGAAGAAATGAAAAGAGAAAATCTTCGCAGTCTCACGCGCAACATCTCGATCGTCGATTTTTACCGTCCGATCGTCCGCAATCCTACAAACGAGTTGGACGTTTCAACTCTATTATAATCGATTAAAAACTAGAATAATGTATTATCGATCTATATATACAATACGTAATTAATGATAGTAACATAATAAATAAGCTCAATAGAGAATGTTAAATCTACACTCACTTTGTATGTATTCGACTGCCTTAACGGCTTTGAATTAATTATTCCCTTCAAATTAACTGTTATTTAATTATTTACGACCTTGTCATTATGCTCCTAAAGGTCGAGCAGGCCAATATTATATTGTATAATATATATTTGTTCGAGTCATTCTTACGAACGCCCAAAAGATTTTTACGTAGATAAAATATAGTGACTTGCACCGCTGGTATGCGATTGCCACACAACTATGTTCAAGTCTCTCTTTAGACGCAGTAAGAGGAACGAATTAGCAATAACAATCATTCAACCACACAAGATTCGATATATATTTTCCTTGCACTCTCCCCCCC